GAAACAATTCGTGATATAAATCGTCAATATGATGAAATTGTTTTAACAAATTGTATAATTGATGAAAGAATTTTTTTAGAAAATAAATTTCAATTAAATGACTTATGTAATTCATTAAATGAAAATCGATATTCAAAATCTTCTCAAAATTTAACACCATTAACAGTAAATCAACATATTACATCGAATGATTATCAAACAATTTCTTTTAATCAATATTTAACATCAATATCTCAAGCTAATCAATTAATTAAATTATTATATTCAATTATTCAATAACAACAAACAAAACCAACAAATAATCTTATTTCAATTATTGGACAACAAACTTTTTTTATCAAATCGAACATAAAATAAATTTGTTTTTCTTTCTCAAACCTTCATCATGTTTTTTCATTATAAGATTCTCTTAATCGAACTTTTAACATTATCTTTTGCGTTTTTCCTCGTTCATACATTGAAAATAAAAAGCCTTTCGACAAGTGAAACTAATTCGAAACCTATTTCAATTTGTCAATGTCACCTTTTTGATCAATGTAGCAGCGACTAGCTAGAAGTCAACTATGATTAGTTTACTTTCGGTAGTAGACAAAGAACAGTACTTAGCTAAATGTTACGTTAGAATCTATGATAAGAGAACCGTCAGATTTATTTTACTCATATTGATTTGTATAGAAAAGAGACAATCAACCTGATTAACAATCAGATTTGAATTATATTTCAATAATAATTGTGTGTTGAGAGTTGATCGATATAGAATTGATATTATAGAATGGAATTAACTGTAAATGAAATAAATAGTTTGCGTTAAAATGAACAAGAGACTTACAAAACAAAAAAAATTCTATTAGAAATCGAGAGATAAATTCGATAGATGATTTTCGTGACGATCGATAAACAGAGATAAATAAATGAACTCGTTAAAAGATTTTTCAATTAATCGATTTTAGATTTTTATTATTTCGATTAATAAAAAATATTCTCAAATTTATATTGTAGACAGAGACAATTATCATCACTATCTTTCTTTCCTATTAACTTAAACAAATAAATATTTATTTATATTTATATCAGACATTCTTTTTTTTTTAAGTATACTTTTTTGATGAAGAAAAATAATTAAATTAAGAAAGGAATTTTTGTTTCTGGTTAAAAATGTTTTCTCTTTAAATGAGAATATATTGAATTAAATATCTGTATGATATTGACATTTATTTAAAATGATCGTTGAATGATATATAAGATTTAAAATTTTATCTAAAAACTTTTAAAAAAAGAACTAACTTAGATTTTAACTTTTTTAAGATTATTTTTTGTTTTCTTTTATTATGAAACAAATCGTTGAATAAAATAAATATTTTCTCTC